AGCACACGGGCGATCTCGGGCGATCTCGCGCGATCTCGGGTGATCTCGCGCGATCTCGGGTGATCTCGGGTGATCTCGCGTGATCTCGCGTGATCTCGCGTGATCTCGGGGCAGCCGCCTGCGCCCAGCAAAGTGCGCCCCCTCTCTCGACGTGCACCTCGAGCCTCGCCCCCGCACCCACGCCCGCAGCCAGCTCTGCGCCGAGGCTGCCGCGGCCGCCCCTGCCGCGGAGGGTCCTAGAAGGGCCGAGGGAGGGGGTGGGGGCGGGGAGGGGCTCCTGGAATGTTCAGGGACACTTCCCAACCGACCTCGTACCTTGACAGCCTCTCGGCTGCCTCTCGGCTGTCTCTCGGCCATCCCTCGGCATGTCTCTCGGCATGTCTCTCGGCATGTCTCTCGGCATGTCTCTCGGCATGTCTCTCGGCATGTCTCTCGGCGGACCCTGCGGAGAGCTCCGCAGCTCGCATCGCAAGCTGCGCGAGTGTCGCACTGCGCTCGAGACGGCTGCCGAGCCGAAACAGAGGGTCGTTGCTGCCTGCCAGGAAAGGTCCGAGAAGGGTCCGAGAAGGGTCCGAGAAGGGTCCGGGAAAAGTCGTTGCTGCCTGCCACGCAGAGCGGCGCGCGCGCCTACGCAGGAAGGGTCCGAGAAGGGTCCGGGAAGGGTCGGGGAAGGGTCGGGGAAGGGTCCGAGAAGGGTCCGAGAAGGGTCCGAGAAGGGTCCGAGAAGGGTCCGAGAAGGGTCCGAGAAGGGTCCGAGAAGGGTCGGGGAAGGGTCGGGGAAGGGTCCGAGAAGGGTCGCGGGGGAAAAAGAAACCCGCCTCTCGCCCCTGCCTGCCGCGCAGAGCAGTGTGGGGGTGGTGTGGGGGTGGTGTGGGGCACGCGCGCCTCGGCGAGTGCACGAGCGAGCAGCTCTCGGACGGGTGCGACGCCGCCGCCCCCGCCGCTCTCGCCGCCGCCGCCGCCGCTCTCGCCGCCGCCCCCGCCGCTCTCGCTGCCGCCGCCGCCGCCGCCGCCGCCGCCGCCGCGGCGCGCAGCCTCGCGGTATTCGCGACGCCACCACGCCTCCGCCTCCGCCCCCCCCTCGGCACCGCCCTCGCCCTCGGCACCGCCCTCGGCACCGCCCTCGGCACCGCCCTCGGCCTCGGCACCGCCCTCGGCACCGCCCTCGGCGTCGCTCGTAGGAGGGGAGGAGAGGCCAAGCTTGCGCTCGACGGCGACGACCGAGTGCAGCTT